TCCTCCCATGAGTTTGAACTAGTTTCTTGAGATGGAACATGCAACTACATGATTCGGTTATTAGCTTAAATGTACCCAAAAAAAAAAAAAAAACTATGGTGTAATGATTTCATTTAGTTAAAATTGTCATCCCATGAGTTTGAACTAGTTTCTTGAGATGGAACATGCAACTACATGATTCGGTTATTAGCTTAAACGCAGGCTAGTGCAAATCTATAATTAAGAGAGGGAATGTAAATAATTACTTGGGCTAACTTAGGAACTAGATATACTGCACCACTAGAAAGTCTTCTATAAAACTAAAATATTATCTGTTGTGTCCACATCCAATAATAATTCAATGTGTAATAAAGTGAGTCATTACTAAGTCAAACAAGTTTGGTCCATTTAATGATTAAGTATAAAATTTGTATAATTATTAGTTTATGATAATTTAATATTTTATCGTTTATCTTGTATAGATTGTAAACACTTTATATTTGTATTTAATGAAATTCGTTATTACTATCATTGATCAAGAGGTTGCTGTTTTGCAAATTGCAATCTTTGTAGGATATATTGCAAAACACTTTTCTGATTTTACAAATTATTAGGAAAGATTTCCCTTTAGGGCCTGGTTAGCATCTTAATATTGAACTTGGTTAAATGGTGTGGTTATATAATTAAATTAGTCTAGTCTTAAAGGCTTTTACTGGTGGGATAAATACCATCTTGTGGGCGTGCCGGAGTGGTTATCGGGCATGACTAGAAATCATGTGGGCTCTGCCCGCGCAGGTTCGAATCCTGCCGCTCACGGTTAGAACCTAACCATTTTCGTTTTTTCCCGTTTTTCCCTGATGTGCATGTAACTGATTGGGCCTTTAAGTCCTCCAAAAATACTGGATCACCGCAGTTTGACTCGGGCTTAAGTTTTTTAGCTAGAACTTGGGCCTGATGTTGAAATGAATCAAAACTACAAGGCACACTTGAAAGGTAGAGGAGCCATAAAACCTGCTTCGGCTGACTTCAACTTGAGCATGCACTAAGCTAATATTGCCCTGTTTAATTCAAAAGGTAGTGAATAGAAATACAAATTAAGCTCCCTATACGTCCAATGAGGGATATCCCAACCATTGGAAAAAAAAAGAAAAAGAAAAAGAAAAAAAGAGTTCTATATACAACAAGAAGATTTCAAATTGAAATATTAAGATACGTCTAAAAAAAGGACGAAAGATTTATCTCCTAATAAAGCCATCAATGTACCTGAAAGACATTTTTACAAGTAGATTTCAAATTCAAATAATAAAAATGGACTTATGTTACGTTTTGCAGAAGCAGGAGTACTTCCTTGGACGACGTTTTGAACTACGATGTATTGCAATGTCCTCCTGAATATGTGAATTTCCTATTGTTTCACTCACATGCACTATTTGTCTTGTAATGATGTTAAACTTTTGATGTCGATGAATGTAATGCAAAAAGAAATGAAAAACAAGTGTCCTTTCATAATTTGAAACTGATTTCCTGCCTATCAATCTTGTGTCGAAAGGCTGAAAACTGTGAATTTAGGGGTCAAGTAGAGGAAGTTTCCGAATTTTCTTCTCTTGTACTATTTCCCTTTGGAAATGATCAGAATTTCCGAAGCAGACATTCAAGATTCAACCATACAAAATGACAGAAAATATGAGAAATACTTTACTAACTGTATAACATTTGATACAAAAGTTCCTTTTGTTTACAAACCAAAAACTTACGCTTTCGCACTTGGCCTTCTTGGCCGATAGCTGTAAGCCATGTTGTAGGTGCACCCCATCCCAAGAATTGGGTTTCAAATCTCTCACCCCCAAAATTGTAACCTATTCAAAAAAGAAAAAAAAAATTATGCTTTCATTTCCAGTTTATTGACACTGAACCAGTCACCTGGACCCACCAGAACGGCCTGGACTGGCATTCTTCACTGCATATTCTTCTTACATGTTTTTTGTACATCAACAGTTTATGTCAGATGCCCCAAAAAGAGGAAAAAAGAGGGAAGAGGGATGCAGGATGGTACAAAGAAACGATCATTTTGAAGATACCTCAGAAGCACTAGTAACAGGCAAATCAGTTGGAGTGCATACCAGAGCCCTTTGCTGTAAATGTCTCAAGCTCTGCTCCACTCTAACTTGTATCATCTCAGCCAGCATCTACCTAGCCTTTCCAGATTGATCATCTCCATCAATCTGTGAGATTATTTTGCAAACTATATTCTCTAGTGTGTCAGGTTGAAGTTCAGATCTTGCGTATGGAGTGTCCCTCAACAACCGCAAAAGGGTTTGTGCCTTTGACTGGGACTTTGGTGTTCCTCGAACTGTTAGCTGAAGCAGTCCAGGAATCACTCCTTCTCTAAGAATCGGTTCTCTGTATTTACATCGATCACTCTCACACATTGTCAGAAGTGCCCCAACTGCATGCTCCCTACCTTGGAGAGAACCATTCTCAAGCACTTCAACTACTGCAAGCACTCCACCTTCCTCAGATGTCAATGCAATTCTTCCCTCATCAAAACCCACTAAAGACTCAATCAGACCACTGCATTTTTCAGCTGTTTTTGAAGATTTCTTACAGGTTTTCAATAAATTAACTATAGAAGGGATCGGGTTTGTGTCAAGAATAATGTTTAGATTATTTGGGTGTGTTGAGAGATTCAAAAGAGCCGTCACTGTATCAGCTTTGGCTTGTGTGCTCCCACATCTAAGGATACACACAAGGATAGGAATGGCCCCAGAATCACCTATAAGTGGCTTGTTTTTAGCAGAGGCTGACAGAGTTAGCAAGGAGGCTGTTGCATACTCTTGCAAGTTCAAGCTCTCTGTCTTAAGGAATCTAATAACGGGTTCTAAGCCACCTGCTTCTACAATGCTGATCTTATTCCTGGAATATGAAAGAATTAAAAAATAAAAATCAGATATCTCAAATTTCTAAGGATAAAAACATTACATAAAAGTGAAGTATAATCCCTCTTGCGTGGATTGCACTTCACTTAACCATTGATGGTAGTGTAGACTTTCAATATCAAAGGATCCACTATGGACTTCAATATTAAAGGACTCATATTTCTGGGATTCACTCCTCCATCAATAGTTTACAAGTAGTGCAATCCAATCAAGCCATACTGCAATACAACATTCTCAAAACATAATTATCCCTAAAACTAAAATTGTGAATGTGAAATGCCTGCTAGATCTCCGCTTTGACGCTTAATTTCTAATAAATTTACTATTTTTCTAGATATTAGTTCAAATAAATAGTAAATTCAATTAAAACTAAAAAATTTGTGAAATTGAAACTGGTAAAAAAAAAAAAAGTTGCTCATTCAATTGAACCTGCAAACACCAGGAAATGATTGATAAGGGGACATACATTTCATCTTTAACGGCGAGGTTATGGAGCGCGAGAAGAGCAGACACGTGGTGTGACGGAGGCGAGTCGGCTTGGAGCATGGAAACGAGGGGCTTGATGGCGTCAGACAGCAGTGCCCGACACCTCTGCCAAGTTTTGGTAAGGCAGCGGATATCCTTGGCGGCTTGCAGCTTGGAATCAGGGTCGTCCGATTTGATTAGCTGCAGCACATGATGAACTGCCGACGTCGCCCCTCGTCGGGTGTCGGTGCCGCACGGATTCAGTTCCGAAGACGAAGAAGAAGGGCTGCGACAGTTGGCCAACTCCATCAAGACAAGAGTGGGGAGTTGCAAGGGGAAAATATAAACGTGGATTTTGAATTTTGCCCTTTTTGGAGTTGATGTTCACGCGTGAAGCAACTCTTAGCCATCATATAATATAAGGTGTGGCCAACTATCATTATTGGGGTGTGGTTATTAAAAAATTATTTAATTTGATTTATAGATTAGGATGTGCGGGAATTTAAAATATTTTAATATTAAAAATGTTAAGTGTTTTTTCTTCTTTTTTTTCTAAGTAGAAATTACGTTGGTAATATTAATATTTGTATTAAGGGAACGAGAGAAATGTTGAGCCTAGGACTCGATCTGAAAATGATCAGGGGTGTACTCACTTGCTTTTCAATGAAAAACATAATCATGACGGTCACATGAAAGGTTATTAAGTGTTTAATTTGAATTATATAATAACTAAAACACAATATGAATTTATAAACAATTGATAATTTGAATGGAAGGATCATGATTTTTTTTAAATAATATTTTGAATTTAAATTTTATGAATAAAAAAATAAGTATTATAAGAGTTTTTTATTTATA